ACCTTATACTGGTGACCTTGCGCAGAAAGGTCCTTTGTGCTCGGACACGGTTGTTGGTCAGGGGAGCACTAGTGCATGGAAGATGTGTGGCCTTGACAAAGCGACATCTTTATGTCTAATATTTGAAATTGTTAAGAAGGAAATCCCTGATGCTACTGTTCAACCGACTAGCAATCAGTTTTACTTCCAGTTTCTTACTTAGTATGAACTCCTTGCTCAGACTTTGAGCTATTATTTTTGTTTGTGCCTCGTATAGAAGGAAATATGTTTACTGATTGTAGATATTTTGCGACAGTTATCAGCATAGTAGTGGTCAAATGAGACTCCGTGTTACGACCCTATCGAGAAGATGGGTTGCTGGACCTGGAAGCCTTCAGGCAAGTTTTCTGTACTCCCTGTCCTCAATATATGATGCATTTTCTTTTCTTCTTGCAAATTGCAAATGTTTAAGTATATTCTATTTGAATTTGATGTCCATATTTCTTTGATAAGTAAAACCTTTGATTCAAAAGAGACTATGGGGTTGGACTTATGGGCGTTTTGCTCCTTGTCATAATTTAGAGGAAATTCTTCTTTCATTGTTAAACTGCTTCAAAAACAATATATGCAACTCTCTCTCTCTCTCTCTCTTGCTCCTTTTAGTTTCATGACTTTAGTTTTTGACTTTTCATTGATTATAAGGGTAAGATAATAGTTTGTTATAGATTTGGAATAGTATTGATGCCGTGGGGGATTACATACTAGTTACTGCAGCTTCATGAATTTGGTTTTACTTCCTCAAGTATCATTTTCTTTTCTTTTAAATTGTAATCTGAAGCTACTGGTTTATACAATAGGAGTTGATTGCTGGATTTGACCAAGAAGCAGCTGCTGTAGTCATGGCACGCCTAGTTTCTTTCAAAATGGAAACTGAGGTAATCTTTATGATTACATGGTTCTATACACTTGTCTCAGGTGTTGAAACCCAAATTTGTTGATAACAAATCTTATTAGATTGTCTTTTGTAAATTTCCTAATTGGAAATGGTGACGTTGACCCCCAAAAAAATTTGAATTGCCACTTCCATTTTTCCATCTCCTCTTTATCTGTTTCTCTCACATATATATGCTCACTGACAGACACTCCAACAAACAAAACAAGGGTAAAACCGAATATGCGCAAGTACAAAAGTTAGAGAAAGAAGAAAATTTGAACATGATTCATGGGTAATGGAGCTTATTTGAATGTTGAAGAACAAAATTCTTGTCTGTTCTCGCTCTGGAACCTGAAAGCCTCCTAGGCATATTTCTTTGAACTTATACAGGGCTGAGAAATGTTTATAGGTCGCACCCAGTGCACAAGGCTCCCGCTTTACGCAGGGTCTGGGAGAGGTGAATGTCTGGCTGAGAAATGTTTATGCAAGAAAATTTATTTCCTTTTGGGTTAAAGTTCCTATAGGTTGTTTTTCAAGTCTGCCTCATCCTGGGGAGGTTGAAACTACAGATGGAGTTCCAATTCCCATAAAGAATACATCAATTCATCACTCTATTCTTCTTTGAAGCAGTTTCTTTAGTTTTAAGATAATTCATCACAGGACATTTAAATGAAGCTTTCGTTTATCTCTGTTATTTATTAATCAATAGATACTGAAGTTTCAAAAAGCGTAATTTATTAAAGCCTATATGATATGCTGCGTGTACATGTGCATGACATGCAAAGGAAATGAAACAGCAATCACTCATGCTGACAAGGTCTAGATTTAGAGATTGGGATGCTTACTCTCAGAAAAAAAAAAAACAATGAACCATAGACATTTTCACTCTTAGTTTCAGTATCATTTTTATTTTTAAATCCAATGGCTGTAGCTGAATGGTAAAATGTTGTGTCAAAGACCAAAAACATACAGTGGAAGATGTAACAAATAATGGAATTTTTAGCTGATCACTTTGTAGTCCTAATTGTAGTGGATTATTGTGCTGATGACTTGTGGCGATGTCAAATTTCTGTGTGAAGTTAATATAGGCAATTGCTATACATCTATTATCCACACATCACTCTGTGAAGAATCATTCTCATATAAGAATACTCTATATAAGAAAACCAAAAGAAAGCATACATCACATGATAATTTTCCTTATGTAATCTTTTCCATTTGAGCTTTTGAATAGTTGTTCTCCAAACTCTATCCAAACTCTAGTGCGACAAGGTGACTGGCAATGGAAATGAACAGAGACATACATCAGTGCCCAATACAACCATGCTATATAGTACTTTATTTGTTATGCATATTTGATGTGGTAAAATCGCAAAAGAGTCATATCCTTTTAATCAATACGTTTTGGGTTGCTTTCATGAGAAGTGATTTTCAGCACTCTTGATGTTTTATAACATGTGTGTATTATTTTGTAAAATATGACTGATTGCTTCACTAATCTTTTGTCATTTCATGAAATATCCAGGCAGAGTTTGACCCTATAAGATGGTTGGATAAATCATTGATACACATGTGTTCTCGGTTTGGAGATTACCAAAAGGACAGTCCCTCTTCTTTCAGTTTATCTCCACGGTTTTCAATCTTCCCTCAATTTATGTTTCATTTACGACGTTCTCAATTTGTGCAGGTATATACTATACCTCTATGTGTATGTCACATTACTTCTAATTTCAGCATTGTTCTTATCGTTGTATCTATTGTATAGATATTGTGATTAACGTCAATTTAACTTGTGTTGCAGGTTTTTAACAACAGCCCAGATGAAACAGCATACTTCAGAATGATCCTCAATCGAGAAAATGTTACCAACTCAGTTGTGATGCTTCAGCCTTCGTTGATTTCATATTCATTTCATTCAGGCCCAGAACCAGCACTCCTTGACGTCGCTGCCATTGCAGCAGATAGGATTCTGCTTTTAGACGCCTACTTTACTGTTGTTATTTTTCATGGTTCAACCATTGCTCAATGGCGGAAAGCTGGATATCAGGATCTGCCAGAACATCAGGTAATGTTTTGCCGTCTTCAAGTTAAAGTTGATCTGAACAGCTTGTCTTTGCCTTGCATCTATGTTTCAAGTCTAAAAAAGTGAATCTAAAAGATCATTTCCTTCACGACTAAGTTCACCTTTATCGTGATATAAAATATAATGAAGGCTGCATCTAGACATCCCGCAGATCAAACATTAGATGCCTTGTTCTCTTGCATGATTCCTGATTAATTTTATATAAAGAATTATACTGGATGAAAACAGAGTAAAACATTGCAACTTGTTACTAAAGCCACTCCCTTGGGTTAGAGATGACCCTGCCTTAAGATAGTAGACTGATCTGTATATGTGTAACTATTAGCACTAAAAGCTCTTGATTATTTATGGTATAATGTAACAATTTTTTTAACTGCCTTTGACTTATGACTACTTAATTGTGCAAAGTAATACTATAATTTATTACGTCTTTTTCTGCGGTAAAAGCGAAAACTCCATGCAACTATCAAGTTTTGGTGCTTATCATGGACAATCAGACCTCCTCATCTACCTCACTGAGTCTCATAAGTAACTCATATTTGCATAGGGCAATCCTATATTGGATTCAAAATTTGCCTTTGGCTCAATGGATTATCCATTGTCCTTGTATATGGCCCTTATTCGTTTTAATCGATAAAAAAATCAGCCAGATTCAGTTTTATTTTGTTCTGTTTCTTTTACTCCAAAGTTCAAACAAATAAAGATCCTTGAAGGAAACTGTTGCTTTTAATTCTGATAAAAGTAGAAGGTTCAATGCTAGAAAACTTCTTCAAAATATTACGTCTACTAAAATAGATCTATGCTTCCAGGCATTTGCTCAATTGTTACAAGCTCCTCGTGATGATGGAGATCAAATTATCAAGGAAAGATTTCCAGTACCCCGCCTGGTGATTTGCGATCAGCATGGTTCTCAGGTAATTCTGATGCCATCTTGTAGTATGGACGTTAAACAAAAAAACCTGTAATTCTGTGGTAAAAATGCATTGGCATTACAATCGTCTTTAACGTATGAGTTGGCCCAGGTATTGTCATGGTGTTATTTTTTTACGGACCATGCCTCTTTTTCTTTGATGATTTATAGAGAGGAATTATATTTCTGGCATTGGTATTTTGGTACGTTACTCCAGGGTATTCTTGGTTTGAAGCTGTTGTCATCATTCCTTGTTTTGGCACGAGTCAATAGGAAAAAAAGAACGAACCTGTTTTTCATTAGATACTCGTTTGGCGTCACTGATCCCCCTTCCTTTATGTAATTACACAGGCCCGTTTTCTTTTGGCAAAGTTGAATCCTTCTGCGACTTATAACAACGAAGCTCCACTTCCGGGAGGGGATGTGATCTTTACCGACGATGTCAGTTTTGAGGTCTTCTTGGATCATCTCCAGAGATTAGCAGTTCAATAATACACAAGAAGGTATCCTGCGGTTTTGTATCATTTGTTTTCTCAATTGCTTGTACAGTAAGGCATACGAATTAATTTAAATTTTGATTTGGTTTGGGCTCTATAATATACGGAAGCTTGTTATGCTTCTATTCTCATAATAATTCATATGTATTTCATCAAATGCAATACCTTGTTGTAAAACCAATCATCAACAGTTTCTCCGAACGCGTTGGGAATTCGATTTCCTCTACGAACAGCTCCTCTTTTTCTCATATCCATGCCTGCCGCGACAGAGTGGTGTGCCGGTATTTGTTATGGAACTGATCAATGACGTTGAGCCGGAATTTCTACGTCACGATGGTTTGGCCAAGTGTTGTGTTTGGCATTGCTAATTATGTAACGATTTTACGTGTCCTACAAATTTTGACATTGAGTGACCCTTATCATCCTTGATGCATGGCCAAACCAAAATGTAATGTTATTTTCGTGTTACAATACGTCCGAGAATATCTAGCTGGTAATAATATACACTGCTTAATAAAACATTATTTTTACTTCAAAATGTTGTTGACAAACATTTTTGTCATATTACACCTTATGGATTTCCACACTACTCCATAATAGTTTAAGCCATGATCTCAAGTTTACAAGAAAACCAATGGTTTCCAGCTGCAGCAGTACCAAGACCATATGTAACAAGAAAAAAAAAAAAAAAAAAAAAGAAGCTCCCCCAACGGAAATTTTAGGGTACGTAATTCCTTCGCGAGTTGTTTGGCTGCCAATAAGAAGTCTCCTTACGTTGGATCCTGACCGGGTAAAGATTTGGTATCTAAGCAACCCTTATAGCAGCTCATGAACTTCGCTATAAACTCTGGGAGAGAATGAAAATAAACTTATGTATAAGAAGTGGCAAATCTTTAGATTGCAATAGTGATGGACATTGCAATGCTTGTGTTATATACACATAATGCGCTTATAGGGCAACGTTCTCTTGCCAGACTTATGTTGTCAGACTATGAATCTGAACCACACATTCAAATCTAAATCATCCCAATCAATGATCCAGATTCGTAGTCTAGTAATATAAGCATCTTATGTTGCCACACAATATGACAATACAACATTTCCGTGCATCTACATATATAACACAAATCAAACCAGTTCATGAGATTATATTAACTTTCCAACAGTTGTTTTACCTTCAATTCTCAAGAACTGCTGAACGTGCTTTATAGATTGTTCGGCGGGCCTTTTACCCGTTTCCCCGTGATCGTGCCGACTGAGTGCCAGTGCTTTGTCACTCTCAAACATATTTTCGTCGTTCCTCTGCATGATTGAAGAGAAAACCATAATTTGGTGACATTAGTAGTTCATTGTTTAACACCTATCAAAACAATTTGGCCTGTAAGGTTTGTAAGTTTCGTACATTGTATTCGTCGTACATGCTGTCAACTCGATCCTGCAGGCTGCCGTCCACATACTTCTTCAGCTCTGTTACTAGGGACTGCATAAGAATTAGAACAAATTTGCTTCATAGTATTATTACTTAAATTACTGACATCTAATATAAGGGCAACAATGTGCTTACTTTGAAAATGAATTCGGGAGATACGCCATGAACTATAAGATTCTGAAGCTTTCCGCGGATTATATATAGCCTGCCAAAAGATGCAGATCATTTCAATTTGCAGAAGTTGCAAAGTTTATCTTAATTCGAATCTTTTCTACAGTTAAACTGGGCTAAGCTCCATTCGCGCAGAAGAACTTTTGTACCGCCATCTCAAAACACAGGATGTGAGATTCACCAAATATCATGAGGGGGAGCTTATAAACTTGTATATAACGGGCTCATACAATAATATGTGTCTCGGAAATTTGAGAACAAGGCATAGTGAGTTTTCCGAGGCACATATTGTATAGTGTACTCTTACTACAGAATAATTTGTACTAAGAACAAAATATATAGCCAACAATTCAAAGGAGCGTACTGTTTTGGGCTTTGCTCTTCAATCATATTCTTAGCAATATCTGCAATATTATCTTCCCAACCTGTTAAAATTACTTGATCTTCTTTAAAGGGATAGCTGCATGTACACCGTTTCAGAGCACACCAAGAACACGTAAATTAATATGAGTAGCAAAAACAGTTGACGGAAACTATTTTTTTCCTTATTAATTACCTTTTCTTCCAAGTAGCCTCGAATGAACGAATGGCTAGACGGATATTATTCTTAGAATTTTGGGCAAACCTTTCAGCCAATTCATGTGGCAAATCTATGCCTTCTTTTTTAGATATGAATTTTAGAACTTCAACAATCTGAAAATGCAGAAAGTAAACTACATGATCAAACTCTTTGGAAAACAGCAAACCGAAACATATTAAATTCAGGAAACACATAATTATGTACCCCTTGTTACGATTTACTAGTTTCCCACCTCATTCTTCGAAGGAGGTGAAAGCTCAAAGACAGTGCAAAGCGATTTGATTGCCTGAAGCTTTGAGACATCAGAGCAGCAGAAGAAGATCTTATTACGACCTTTATACCTTTCTAAAAGCCACTTTATATACAGCAGGGCATCGGTTGATAGCTTGTCTGCCTCGTATAATATTATTGCTGCACAAACATGTATATATGTATAAAAATAGGCAAGGGCTTTATTCCTGCACTTATTTACTCAGCTTAGTTTCAGAAGTAAATCAATTTGTACTGATTTTAATCTAAATATATATACCTCGGCAGTTGTCAAGGCTGCACGGCATAGATTTGTTCAGCGTATTGTCCTGTGTTTCCTTCATGAGTTCGACAATCACATGCTTTTCATAGCCCTTCAGTTCAGAGAGATTCACTTCTACATGTTGAGGAGATTGCTTTACATGTACTTCTATACTACCTACCATTTCACCCTATGAGAAGAAAGATACAAAGAAGAAAAATCAAGTAAACGGTCCATGTTTTGTTATATCATGCAGCACAGAATGATTAACTACAGACTAATTGTCATTTGTGATTATGAACCCCTAAATCCACACAAGAATGTTATATGTACTAATATAAATGTTGGTGAAATTAATTGATCAAGTAAATATTGAGGATAAAGTAAATTACCTTGAGGTTGAATGCCTTGAACTCTTCTCTGGCCTGATAATATATTTCAAAGAAAAAAATTAGAAGATTGACATGAATAAAAGCTGCAAATAAATCAACGAGAAAAATAGTGAATCATATCTACTTACATGTATTGTGTCGCGTCCAAAAACCTCTCGAAGCATAGCCCAGATCATAGTTCTCTTCCCCACCCCCGGCGGTCCTTCAAATATGAAATGTCCACATCCTCCTTCTTTGGCCTGTATTTTTAATTTCAATGCACAAATTAATTTGAGTAGTTGATAAGATAAAAGAAGTGCATAAAATAAAAAAAGAAGAGTTGTTGATGTACATGCATACCAAAGCCTGCAGCTGAGTTGCTTTGTCTCTATTGCATATGAAATCTTCTAAGCACAGAGGCTGGTACTTGTCTGCCCATGCATACTCCTTCTCGGCATCACTCATCACCTTAATTTGATCATTTCTCGGCGCATCAGCATCAGCATCAGCTGCTGCTGTTCCTCCTGATCGCACTCTCTTCCTCAGTGGCTTCTCTTTGTTAGATTCGTTGCTACTCGTCCTGACCTTCTTCCTCTCTCTGCTCTCCTCCTCCACCAAAGAAAGCTCTGTAATTGTCGATGATGAGGAGTTAACTACAGGTGGTTTGACGGGTTTCATTGCGGTGTACATTTCCGGCCTAAGCTTGTTGCTCTTGCTTTTCGAACCAATGCAAGAGCCCCACTCTCGCATTTTGAACCCCGAAAAGAAGGTGGAGATTGATTTCCAAGAACCATGAGAGGTATGGCTTTCGCGGCCGGGAGTACTAATTGGATGCTTAGGGACAATGAAGTTCGGATACGTGAGTCCCCTAATGTAATAGGGACTATATTTTGAGCTTCTCTCCTCATCAGTCTCAAAGTTATAATAGTCTTGAAGACTAACTTGCCCTACTCTCTTGTGAAGCTTGATCACATCTTTCACAATGTGCGTGTTATTGTGAGCCTCGAGGCTTTGCTCTGTGAAGTTCGAATTTCGTCTCTTCCTGATAAGTTTTCTGAACTTCCTTCTCCAGGAAAGCTTGGCAGAAGTGATCTTCGACGCAGGAGCTGTGCATGCAGAGTGGTTCGCAGGAGGGAGGTTTTCCGGGAGAGTGTACTGCGAAGGCCATGCTTTTTTGAGCCGTGGGAAGGACGAAGAGCGGGAGATGATTGACGGGCTTGGCATTGTGCGGCAGAGCTGCGTCTGCAACTTCAATTGTTTCGTATCGGATGACATTATGATGATTGCGAGAATTGGAGTTTCGGTTTTCGTTTTTTATGACGGAGATTCCGAAGAGGTTTCTATGAACTTAACGAAGAAAAACGATATCTTCATGGCCTGATAAACTATATTTTGAGTCTATAAAACATGCAGCAGCCGGCCGATATGGAATATACTATGCGTCTAGGACTCATAGAGAAATTTTAATAGTATGGGGTCATGTATCACATCGGAAATTTCATGAAGTTAAACTTCCTCTTGTATTGAATAGTTCTATTGTTAATTTGATCGTAAGTGGCTTGTAACTCAGTTGGTTAAGAGTAGTATCGGCGTTAAGATTAGTGTTAATGGTTCACCCGTCTCTCAAAAATCTTATATGACCAATGTGAGATGTGCTTTAACATGTGCTGCCAAATTTGTAAATCTGGCTTTGATTTCTTCTTGCTTGGGAGCTTATATGCTTTGAACATGCCAGACAATTATTTATATTTTTAATTTCTGCAAACAAAAAAGAGAAACTTAATTATCAGAGTAATTATCAACACAATTTTTTTTTCCTTTTAAACTATAAAATGCGGCATATTTTATTGGTTTAATTTGTACGAACAAGAAAATTCTGCTGCAATATCCAAATTTTTACAGGTTGTAAACCAATAATAATTAAAAAATGTTTATGGAGAGATGAAATTTCATCCTATGTAGATTCTGGATTTTGGGGTTACATTAGCATTCAAATCAAATGTTACTTTTGGTTTGTTTTATGTTTTCTATCACTATTTGAATTTCACCCACATTTTCCACGGGTGCCTAAAGAAATCTATCATCATTCAGCTATACCAACCCACAGTATAAACCCTAAATTCAGGAACTCATGACAGCAAATTTGCAACACCGAATGCTGGTTTCGCAAACAGTTCTATTTCGGATTGGATTAACTTTCAACGACAAAAATTTTTGTTTGATTTTTAGGTTTATCACATAATATGTTCAGTTTGATGAGTGATAACTTAGTAGAAGAAATCTAGCTACTAATGACGTATGGAATTACTAAATATAGGTGACCTCAACATCTAAAGGTTACATAAAACCACGGTCTGCTGCCAACCAACAAAATGAATGCCGAGTAACTGGCAAACTTTATTAGGACTGTGTTGATCCTAAAAACTACTTCGCCTACGTGGCGTGTAGACCAATAGCTAATGAGCTAATTGCGTCCTTTAGTTGAATGCGGGGCATGCCAACTCAACGACCAAGCTTGATCGGTGAGTAAATGAATGTGGTGGCCGTGTTGGACGCACTGCTGACTTCTTATCTTACAATTGCAGCTAACAAAGGAATTCGTCCCGACCTTCGGGTTCTAGAGCTTGAAGACAAGGCTAGTAGTTTATGTAAAGTTCAATAAAAGTTTGGCTTTCAATGTGCCAAACGGGGTAACTTGGTAACACCTCATTTTGCTGAGAAGCTAATGAGACGACATCTTCTAGTAGGGACTCAAAGGCTCCTTGCTAATGGAAACTTGGATGCATGGCCATCTCTGAGATTTCGGGGGCCTGTGCGAAATTTATAAAAGGACCCATTTTTAAGATATATTTAAAAAAAAAACATTTGACAATATATTGGTACTAGAAAATAATAACTGAAATTAAAACAGCCTTTAGGACTCACTGATTTTAAGTTTACAAGTGTCATTAAATAAGTAAAAAGAGTTACAAGCAGAACATTCACTAAATAATAAGAAAACAGTTCAATCTTAAACAATCAAATAAAGAAAAAAAAACTTCAAAAACTCTAACTTTAGAGTTTCACTTGAATATATAGCATTATTATATAATTAATAAAATTGAAAAGAAAATCGTTTTGTAAGGCGTTGTTATTAGCACTCCTAATATCTTATTGTGCACTCCAAATTTTTATATTTAGAAAGAAAAAAAAAATTACACTTATAAAAGTGCACTATAAAATTTTAAAGTGCTAATAAAGTTTTTTTTTTAATATATAACATTATTACATATAAATATAGGATACCAAAATTTTTTGGGGACCCTGTGCAATTGCACCTTTCGCTCCCCCTCAACGCCGCCTCTGCTTGGATGGATAGTCAACCGAACTTGGAGTAAAGCTATTCCTACAAATTGCAAGGTACTCCTCGATCACTTGACTCTATAGCTCCAGAGCTATTTCTACAAATTGCAAGGTATGCTTGACGAAGTTATGAAGGTCAGTGTTTTCTCAAAGATGAGAGGGTTTCACGTAGAACAAGAGTTTGCGCAAGGCAAATTTGTGTGTTGCGTTGAAGGTCTCCTGGTGCCGAAGCAATTCCTACTTGAATTGCATCTCCTCGGCATATCTTGGTCCAATAACAAATCATATTCCCATTTGGATTGAATTCAGTCACTCCTACTAGACTTAGGACTCTGAACCTAGTCTTTCCTTGGTACTCAATTCACTTCTTGTTCTAATCACATCCTTGGAATATTATGAATCTTACCATGCCACCCTGATCTTTAAAGACTCTTGACTAAATTAAGACTTAGCCAATATTCTCAAGAAATCCATCATTAATTCAAACTCAGCCAAACCATTTTGGGATGTGCTTCTATTTAAACAGATTGGGACTCCTATCCAACTTTAGGCCAAGCCCATTATCTTACTCGGCTCAAATCCATTATTTTGGGTCCATACATTGCCCACTCGCTTCTAAAACCTTAGGCCAAGAACCTTTGGCTAAGAGGTTCTGAAGAAGTGAAAACACTATTTGGCCAAGGACACCTGGCCAATCGTTCTGAGTTGGTTAAGACCCACTAACTTGAGCATTTAATGCACTCGATTCCTGTATCTGCACCACTTCCCCTCGACTACCACAAAGCACCACGTGTCGAGTTTCCACGGCGTTTGTCTGTCTTCGGCGGTCTCATGCGTTCCACACCCCAAGTGCGTAGAGAAACACTAATCTTTAGAGATTGTGCCTTGAAAACCAGACATCATCATCGTCATGCATAATGGGATACTATAGTGACGGCTCAAACCCTTCCAATTCCAAGAAACCATGATGATAACAGGAGAAACCGAAACAAACACAAACACAAACAGAATCAGAAAGAAGAAAGGTACGTTGTTCCCAAATTAGAAGCGATGGAATTGAAATTATAGATTGGCTATGCTAGTACCAAATTACTACAGCATCGGGTATCCAAATCCAAGAAAATATAGAGCACTACACAATGGAATTGAAATATTGTCTAGGATCAAACTTGCAATTTATTGCAACAAAGTAAGTTCTTCATATGTTCATATTTTATCATAAAGGTGTATCCATGGTCAAGCTACAATGGCACCGTTGGTTCTTTGGACATGGCTCCTGGAAATCAAGCCTAATACCATCCTCTGCATTCTAAGAGTCTGAAAAAACAATTGAAGAAGCTGAGAATTCGACGTTGACAGATGACCGGGGCCATCCCTCTAGTAAAACAAAAAAATATTCTCCCAAGGATTTTTGTGGCTGCCAAAGCATTGGAAAGTAGAAAGAATCATTTTTTGCAAGGCGCTTCCATGTTGAAGCAAAAACCTTGCAAACTTAATCACACTCTCAAATATCATATCTTCGTAAAGGTGAATGTTCACCACCTTACCATGTGAGTAGAGTGTCTAATAAGTAATTACAGGATTGTCATTTTCTGGTTACCTTAAGGCGTAGAAGTAATGTAAACACACACACATGAAAGAGAATTTTAGAAATATAAAATTAAAGTTATGCCACAGGCTCACAACTTACAGCATTGTCTTCTCGACCATTTACGTCAATTTTGAGAGAATGGAGCAGGGGAGAGCTCTTGAATAGGCAAGCTAGCCCTGGGATATCTGGTTTTTGCAAAGAACCAAAGGAAATGTGCATGGTCTTAACTTTCATAAGTGAGAACCGTAGGCCACCTCCATAATAAATTTCAGACAAAATCTGCAAAATTAAATAAGCTACATAAATGTACGACGACAAAAGAAAGAGAGAATGCCATAAGTGTAAGTAGGAAAACTTGGTGCGGTATCTATGTAGATCATAACCAAGATCTCTGGCATGTCCAAACAATACAAAACCATATATACAATATTTTTACACACATACGTGTATGTATATATATATATATATATATAGAATACAAGGTGCTCCAAATATCTCAGCGTACACTCCTCATAAGTGTAACTTTATCTTACATTGCCGGTCCCCCGGTCCCAAGCCCGGATAAAGGAGGGGGAGGGCGTTAGATAGTCAACAGCCGGCACTCCTAGGTTACGTCGAATCCTTATGAAAATGAATCCAGAACGAAATCGCGCTAAAGCTAGGGCGTCACCCGTAAGTGGCGCGCTGTGTGGCCCAAGCACAGTGATGAATGAGCAAGGGTCGCTGTATCTTCATCGGCACCCGGATGCAGTGTTAAATGAGCAAGAGGATCATAGAAACTTCTTTTTGAACAACTCCACTCAAAGTTGTTTGGAAGCATATGCTCCTATCAACTTTACACAAGACACACAAAAGAAGTACTTTGATCCTATTAGACGGGGGAGGGTGAAGAAGCTAGGACAAAAGGATAGAGTTCAAGAGAGTAGAATGCGTTTAGGAACGTGGAATATAGGAACCTTAATGGGAAAATCTATGGAAGTAGTGGAAGTTATGGTGAGGAGAAGGATAAGTATTATGTGCCTACAAAAGGCAAAGGTCTAGAAAACTCAGGTTTTAAACTTTGGTATTCGGGCAAATATAGAACGAGAAACGGTGTTGGCATCATCGTGGATAAGACCTTGACACAAGATGTTGTAGATGTCAAAAGGGTAGGAGATAGAATTATGGCAATCAAGATTGTAATAGGATAAGAACTCATCAATGTGATTAGTACGTACGCACCTCAAGTAGGGTTGGATACGAGTTTGAATGAGAAATTTTGGGAAGATCTTGGAGACTTGGTGCAAGGAATTGCTCAGACGGAGAAGGTATTTATAGGAGGAGATTTAAATGGACATGTGGGCAAGGAGACATGCAACTAGGTTTTCATGGTGGTCATGGTTTTGGGGAGAGAAATAAGGAT